GTGCTCCTCTATAATGTTATAACCCAAGCATCGATTATTCATTTATCAAATAATTCTTATTTTGAAACGTATTCTCCCAACAGATTAGAAAAGTGGATTTAACTGACCAAATGAAAATTTTGACTCACAGCTGACTCAAGACTACATTCTCTTCCTTGTATATTTATGGTATACAAACTAAAAACTAAAAACAGTCTCTTATGGTAGGAAACTAAACAGTCTGTAAAATAGTAAACAAAGGCAGTTGTGCGGAATCTTTATTGGGGCTCTGGTGGCCTGGTGGTTAACGCTCTCGCTTCACACGGTGAGGGCCTGGGTTCGATTCCCAGCCAGAGTAGAAACATTGGACGTGTTTCTTTCCACCTGTTGTCTATGTTCCCCATCAGTAAAATGGGTGCCTGGGTGTTAGTCGACTGGTGTGGGTCGCATCCTGGGACACTGACCTAAGGAGGCCTGGTCACAGACCGGGCCGCGGGGGCGTTGACCCCCGGAACTCTCTCCAGATAAACTCCAGATAAACAACCTTTCGCCCGAACAGTAAACTTTAATGTCAATTGATAAAGTCCACTCGGTGGGCATGTAATTCCCTTCGTGTGTTAACCATCGTGTTGGTAATTCATACCATTACCTAACCAGCTTATAAAATGTTGGATATCACCCTAATCTAAGCATGCGCGCGCATACACACACACACACACACACACACACACACACACACACACACACACACACACACACACACACACAGAGAGAGAGAGAGAGAGAGAGAGAGAGAGAAGAGAGAGAGAGAGAGAGAGAGAGCCAGGGGAATGTCGGTTGACTGGTGTACGGGCGAGACATACCATAGCATCATGGTGCATACCACCTGAGCGGTTGGAGACGGCAAGGAGAGGTTGTCCACTGGAGTTACATAGCAGGTAGAGTATATATGCCACTGGTCCCATGTGTGTGTGTGGGCGGTGTGTGGGTAGCACCGTCCTGGCGGCTCGCACTCATTCTCAAGGTCATTGATTATTTAACGGCTACTCAGAGCTCAACGACACGAAGTACAATCGCTATTATTCCAATATTTTCTGGCCATCTATAACGTATATAACAACCATGTACAACTGTTTCTAACCATGTATAACAACGTGTTTCTAACCAGGTACAACGTGTTTCTAAGTGTTTAGTGAATATTACACTGAAACACTAGTAAACAAACACGCATTAAGAGCTTACACATCTGGATCTCTAGATGACGCCATAGCTACATATTTATGAAATACAATACAAATTTTCAAGTAGAACAAATGTAGAAATTCTCTTTTTGGTATCACACACACACATATATAATGTCGTGCCGAATAGGTAAAACTGGTTAATTAACCAGAACTCGTTTAAAATTAAGTCCTTTCTAAAATTTTCTCATACATTTAAAGATATCTTTCATTTATGTTAATATAAAAATTAATGATTTTGTACCAAAAGAACCTTAGGAAACTTACCTAACTTTATTATAATAGGCAAAATTTAATTTGGTCTAATCCAACTAAATATATTTTAAACAAGTTTACAATACTTTAATAATAAACAATTAAATTTTTTTTCGTTAGATTCAGAATGGTTTTTGCGAAATTATTGCATACACAAATTTTCGCTTGCCCTATTCAGCAAGAAGTGTGTTGCTATTTAAGCCAAATAGCAAGTTTTACTTATTCGGCACACACACACACACATTTATTACATACTGTTATGCTGGAGACCTACGGTGCTGAGGGAACACCCTGATTATTTAATAGCTGAGGTAGCAGGAGCGCGCCTGTTTCCATTAAACAGAAGAGATGCTTGTTAACAGGGAGTTAAGAGTACCCTGGTGTATAAGCCTGTGTGCGCGCGTAATTATAGTCTCAAACACTCATCTATGTACCTGTGTATCTATCGTATAGGGTAGAGTAGCAACCCACTGCTGATGTCATTTACCTATTTTTACATAAAATAAAGTATCACGAGGCTAGCAAATATTATTAATTCTTAGATATATAATGACCGCACTGTTATCTACTAATGTATTTATGTAGGCAGATATACTATGTCATCCACATTTCTCCTCCAACGCACTTATCCTCTCTTTCTTCTACCTAATTTAGATATTACCTGGAGTTTACCTGGAGAGAGTTCCGGGGGTCAACGCCCCCGCGGCCCGGTCTGTGACCAGGCCTCCTGTCACATCCAAATTCTTTTTCACCTCCTCCGTCTCTCCTCTGTCTCCTCTGTATTATTTCTCTTGTAACCGATCTGGGATGAGGGAGATACCTTCACAAATATTCCAATTCTCTTGTGAATGAGATATGCTATCCTGCGAGATGGAAATTCACAAACGATAGCTATTCCAGCTCTGCTGAAAGGAAATCTTTGAAGCTGCCGTAGCTGATGAGCCTTTAATGGGATACTTGACGGTCTTCATTGACCTACTGAAGTCTGCCAGCTCAGGCTGACACACTGCAAGACTATGTGACCGACCCTGTATGATGGAAGTGACAGGGAAAATAGTTACTTTTTTTCCACTATAACTATCATACAGATTAGAGCAACACCATCACCCTCGGGTTGCCATATCCGCCACCACCACCATCAGGTTGCCATACCCGCCGCCACCACCATCAGATTGCCATACTCGCCATCACCATCAGGTTGCCATACCGCCGCCACCACCATCAGATTGCCATACTCGCCATCACCATCAGGTTGCCATATCCGCCACCACCATCAGGTTGCCATACCCACCACCACCATCACGCTGCCATACCCACCACCACTAGGTTGCCATCACCGCCTACTCGCCCAGCTATCCGGCTCCACCCTGCACCGGATTTCGCGCCACAGCCTCGCAGATATTCCGTTCCTCTGGTCATACAAAAGTCATCCACAACCTTTCTCCTCCCACCACACCAAGTTATTACCTCACATTCAAACATTTTAACGATGCAGTATGAGAGAAATGCGAGTCAATATTGTTTACACTCTGAAGTCATAATTTGACCAGTTTTGGCTGGCAATCCCTAGCCAATCACATTTCTTCCCGCCAAAATTTATCCAGGATAATGACGTCATAATAGTTGGTCTATAAATATCGATGATTGCAACTGTATAAGCCCCCCCTCAAGGTTTAGGGTGGTTTTAAGGGTTAATATTGAGTATTCAGTCAGTTACAGATATATCTTAAAACAGATGTTGTTATAGCCTTCAATATGTGAATATTTGTAAGACGGTGAGGCCGTTTGATGATTCATACATACATATTACACTGACGCATACGCGTGCACACACACATATATATGGGAAAATGGCTGCCGGAGAGATATTGCAGTCACTGGTGGAAATATACTGAAAATGTACAAATTATATATATAAACACAAAAATAGTATTTATTACGAAAAATACACAAAATATAGTCAATAGATAGTTGAGAGACAGCATCCATCTAGGGAGGTATTATTACTTTCCTGTCAAGCGCCTGCGAAACCGAAGCCTGTGAAACGTTCTGCACTGGCAGGATTCCTGATTCTGTGTTTTGAACATGCGAGATGGCGGTAAATCTTACAAATTTATACTGGTAGTTAGTCTACACTTCCTTATGCTGTCCTGTTTCTCGTAATAATTTTTAATTAACACGATTATACTTCAATTCCAATTTAAGAGGACTGGTCTGAGATCGGGCAACTAGACAATGATCCTGGACCACGGGGAAATGATCCCGGACCACCGTGGGCAATGATCCCGGACCACCGGGGGGAGTAAGTCCCTCTTGACAATTGCCGACATAAAAACGGAGGAAATAAATACCATACTGGAAAAATGGTACAGAATTTACAGGAGAGATGCGTCTGCTCCTTGCGGTTACTGACAAAGCATATATTTCTGCTATTTGCTATTACTATCGTTACACCTCGGGAAAATGGAAGCCATACTCTTTGGCACGAAGCAAACTGAGAAGGGCAAATAACTTTAATGTCTGGTGTAATGGGGAACCCATCACTTCAGTTTCCTCAGTAAAATATCTGGGAATCCCCTTTAACCCATGCATATCAGGAAAACTGATAGGATGCCAGACTGAAGTTACTTTATAGACAAGCAGTGTCTACTTACTGAGAATCGTAGGACCCTATGTCTAGCCCTTATACAATGTCATATGGACTATGCTTGCTCTTCATGGTACTCTGCCTTGACAAAAAAAAAAGGGGGGAAAGAGACTACTAATCACTACATGTTCTCTTGGACCTGGGTCCAAGAGAACATGTAGGCCAGGATGAATTACAACTGGATATGCCGAATGTTGAAGACGGAGTAAAACAACTGAAGTTATATAGTTTATAAAATTGCTCACAGTGTCCAGAATATCTTGCTGCCAATTTTGTCAAGGCTGGGAATCAAGCAATCAGTACTAGTGGGAGAAAGCACAACTTTATAGTACCCATAGTCAGTGACCAGGCTTCAAACACCTTTTATTGTACAGCAATAAAGGACTGGAACAGACTGCCTGCATGTGTCAAAGTCAGTCGTAGCATGAACCCGTTCAAGAAGAGAGCCTTTTAAAAGGTGCCTAATGAATGTAGCGACAGAAAGGGAGGAGAATGACTATATTTTTTCAGCTAACACACATGTAAATATAAATAACTCTTTTTACTTTTTCCTAGTATGATAATAATATCTCCTTTATAGTATATGGTATTAAAAGGACCCCAATGGAAATAAGTCACTGACTTTTTTGGGTTATCCTAGGTTCTCTACACACATGCTGTTATGTATGATAATCTGTGTAACTGTATTTGTGTATACCTGAATAAACTTACTTACAAGTACAATTACCATACCTAATGTAAATTACCTAGGATAACCCCCAAAATAAGTGACTTATTTCCAATGGAAATAAGTCCTCGAGGACGCGCTGACTTTCTTGGGTTATCCTGGGTGACCAACCCTCTGGATTAAAAATCCGAACAAATCTTATTTATCTTACCTGTTAGTGAAGTATCTGTGCAGATGTTGCACTCCGGAGGGACATGGCACAGTGG